ATGGCACGAGAAAATTAGGTGCATGTATATTATCATATATAATTATACCATATAATTATATAATAAATATACAATATAATTAATAGGTCTCTTTTTTTTTATCAAAGTCGCTACGAAATTCCAAAAAATTGAGTACATTTTCTAAATTAGTGATTAATGGTTACTCTTTACTCTGCTTTTAGATTCATCTACGAGAACTCAAAAAAATTCTATTGTATGTTTTCTATATAAAGTGACTGATATGTTTGTAACAAACTAAGGAAAATATTAAATAAAACAATTATACACCTTCGCTCAACAGCTTTATTTTTAACGTTATCTGAAAAATTATAAACAGTATCGTTTTTATTTCATGTAAAATTCTATTTTTTTTTTAGTATAAACATAATCTCTCATAATATGAGATATGCCTATATAGTAAAATTTGTTAGTCGATTAAAGGAATATAACGAAATTATTGTAGTATTTATTGGCATGGTAGTATAAGAAAATTTAAGTTAAATTTAGTAGCTTAGAAAGTTTTCTTGCTTTTTATTAAGATTGACTGTCTCGAAATAAAAAGTATTTGATTTTTTTGTGTATTTTCGATTTTACATGGAACTTGCTATCCTCTGTCTTTTTACGAAATTTAAATTATCATCACAAAATTGATTGTGATCTATCTGTCAAGTACTTTTTTTAGCAATATATATGACGGCAATTAGCCGTCATTAGCTCAATTTAATTTCTGCGCGATTTGATATATTTCCATAGAGTGATTCGAATTCATAAAAATACCTCTTATTTAGATGTCGCTTAAAATTTGAATGATTTATATTAAAAAATGTTTTAAGAACACTTTAAGAAAAAGTGTGGAACAAAATACAATATAATACAGGCATTATTTTTAACATAAATGCATCCTTGCGCCTATATTGCATCTTCCGGCATTTTAAATTGTACACACAAATAAGTTGTTTCATGATACCTAATGTATATATATATTGTCTAAAATTAAATTAACAAAATCATGTATTTAATTTTTTTGAATTGTGAATCAACATATTAGAACAAATTGCAAGAACCATTGTGAATCCGATCGTTGTATTTAAAATTGAAAACAATGTAAATCTGAAAACCATAAAGAAATCTGAAAATTTTAAAGTGCTTGGACATCACTATATCAAAATATGAACTGTAACTGTCTAGGAAGCTTTGGTAAATAAAGACTTACATCATATCTTAATTATTCAGCTACACAATTTAAACATTTTCTCCTGAACTACTCTTAAAAATCTCTACTCTATGAATATTTCGACTTACATTATTATATAAATACTTAAATACAGTTGGTCACTCTAATTTCTAAACTCGACATTTTTCACCTTGAAAAAGTAATACACCTCGTTTATGAAATCGAAAATCATCAACAGGATGCGAGAGATCTGGTTATCGTAATTTCTTCAATTCTTTTTAACTATTAAGCAAAGTAAGCAAATATTATTTTTCTGAAAAGCTTGATCCACTTATTTTGCAATTTATTGAGTAATTGTCAACCAGCATTATTTATGGAAAATGAAACATGTGTACTTCAATAAGCAAAAAAATGATTGATTATTTACATTAATCTCAAGTATTCTTGTTCAATTTATTATTATTTTAATATGTGAACATTAAAATTTTTCATAAGTAATAAAAATTACTTTTGTTAGGTTGGCTTATGGAATTAGAACAAGATTAAAAAAAAAAAAAAACAATGTTTTATCTACTTAATTTAATTAATTGTTAAAATTTACCAATTCAATATAATTTGCTAGTGTACAGTTATAAGAAACAAAAACATGAAGTTAAAAAAAATATTATAATCTTGATTCAATTTCCACCTTGAGTGGCAATATTATATTTGATCAATAATCTAACACTCGCCATTGACGTTTTTTCTTGTCTACTCCAACGATCTGATTTACAACTTATTGAGTATATTTATTTTAAAAAAGTTGTTTTATAGTTTGCTCGAAAATTATTATGTTGTATAAAATCTGATTTCTATCTTATTGAGTATATTTATTTTTAAAAAGTGGCATTATAGTTTTCATTAAAATTGAATAAAAAAACTTAGTATCACTGTTAAAATTTACTAAGGCAAAAGATTTCTCTATATAGACCTCATTAATTTTAGTTAGTTTTCATTATTTTAACTATGACTTTGTGATTAGATTTGGTGAAATCATGATGATTCACCAAGTTGTTTATAGATTAGTGAGTTGTATCCTCTAGATAAAATTGACTTCGCACTGAAAGTCAATTCAATTATACATAACATCCGGATGCAGAAAGTGAATTTCCAAAAATTCAATACCTTTAACCCATATAATTTGCCTAATTATTAAACGATTATGTTAAAAATGACAGATATAAATCAAGTTCCATTTCTAATTATTCATGAAATGCCCTTCTTATAATTTCTAATTAATTGTATCTGCATCGTCTTGATAAGCAATCAATCATGTATTTTCTTTATAATCAGAAGTGTAATTAAACGAAATATAAAATAAATTAGAAGATTAGAATTAGATTAGCTAAATTAGAAAATTATGAGTATTAAAAACCAAAATTCAGTTAAGCGTACAATGAATATTTGATAATCAGTGGCCTTGCACGATCTTAAATAACATTAACAATGTCTTTTTGGAGTATGAATGTCAGTTTGTTATTCTTTCCTTGTTAACGACTCTTTTTCATTATCTATTATTTCCTTGTAGAAGGCATAGATTTATCAATCAAGAGTACTATCTGCTCCACCATTGAGTAAATGAAGCAAGCTTCCCCAATAAAAAATACCCTCTTTGCTATGCTTTTAATTGTAATTTTATACAGAAAACAAACCGAAAAATTGCTTTTATCTCCTATATTTTACTCTTAATTTTTTTACACTTTTGAGAAATCGTAGTATTTGAATCTGCATACATTAAACAATATAAAAAGATAAAAATATAATCTTGGGCGTAAATAAATCGTCTTAATCGATCAAGATTACCATTTTAAATTATATATTTATGAATAATTTCTTAATATCTTAAACATATTGATATTATAGTATTTTTTAATCAGTAATATTTATGAGAAATTAATTGAACAAATTCATAATAAAACTTTAACCATTCGATTTTTAAAGGAGGTAAGCTATATTATAATTTATGTGCGCATATGTGATTAAAATTTTGGTTTCATAGACGATTAATTTTAATTTTCTTGCAATTATAAATTTTACTCGCTTTAATAATAATAACTATAATTAGTATTAACTATATAATATGTACAATCTCTATAGTAAACTATATATATTACAAAATTTTAAATTTTAAAAATCAAAAAAGTTTTATTCGAGAATTATATTTTTCTAAATATATTGCATAACATAAACAATTAATTTTATAGCATTTATTATTGCACCATAATACGATAATTAAATTTTTCATTCTATTATCAGCTGTATTAATTATTTGACTGTTATCAGATTACTGATTATTAAAATTAATAAAACAAAATTCAAAATAAAAGTTCATAATTACTTATAAACTATGTTTGAATATAAATTTTAATAAAGTTCTCAATTTAATTTATTTAAAGTTTATCTTGGATATTTCATGTTTATATTTTGTATTATATAGAATAAGTATAACAATTTTTGGATGAAGCTAAAATCGAAATACAAAAGTTAGCAAGAGAAATTAATCAAATCCTGTGTTGCTACTATTCCAAATATAATAAATTCAAATTTACAGCTACTCTGCTTTTAATTAAAAATGCGCGTATAAACTTTTGAATAATTTCGTAAGTCCCGACTATCCTAATTTTTAATATATATTATATATAAATACATTATTAAAATAGTTAATAAATGAAATAAGATATTGAAGAATATAAAAATATAGTTTTCTTTCAATTTGCTGTCTGTGTTTTATAGTACAAATTTATATGGTTTATTCATTATAAATATTATGAATAAAATGTTTTCAACCTGAAAAATAATATTTGTTCATGGCTTAACAGTATCAGAAGAAATTGTTTAAATTACTAAACTTTGTTTAACAAGCTATATTATTTAATTATTTAAAAAATTAATTAAATGTTTTCACTTGTTACAAGTATAACACAGAAATAATAAGTGGTATTGTGTATAGTATTATTTTACAAATGTTTAAAAAATTTATGATTTAATGTTTAAATCATAAATTCAAATTTAATATATTTTGTGTTATAATAAAAAAAAAAAAGAATATTTTTTTTTTTTTACATAACAATCATTTTCAACTGTTTTACACTATGCATATATTGTTAATTTTATTCATCCCTGAGTAAGTGATTGAATAAATTACAATTGTCAGTATATTTCCGAATTAATATTTTTTATATTTATTCAATAGATTATTCGTACAAATTAAAAATGGAACCTATTAGACATGAATCCAATAATTTACTTTAATCACGGATTTAACTATCACGCTGTATTTATTGATATATAAAATGTTAATTAAAGTATTATTAAATATGTTTATTATTTATTATAAGACTTATTCATTAATATACATAATAATAAATATAGAATATTAATTGTTGCGCTGTACATTTATAACTTACTTTTATCAATTTTACGTTGACATAAAAGGAAATCGTTTATCTATTTGTATTCCTTAATATGCAAAATTTAAAGCAAATTTTTTCATTTTACACGATTGTTTATTAAATGTGAAATCTTTTTAATTTATTGAAAATTTAAAGAAATTAAATAAAATTAAAATGAAATAATATTCAATTTTTAATAAAAATTCAATTATATTCAATTATATTTATACTAAACGACATTCTTTAAATATTAATGATAGTTATTTTTAATAAAATATATTTTCAATATATTACCATAGTACAGTTTTACCTCTTTTTTCTTTTGAAAGACAATTTATATATAAATAATATTTATTCAGCAACAAAACTTAATCCATAGATTATATATATTTCAGGAACGATACCTTTGTCGAACCATATTTGCAGCATCAACATGAGTACGAACATCGGCAACAGCAACAAGAACATGACAATATATCCGTTCAATCTTTGAATTCACCGAATTCACCACCTCTTGATCCTCTCCAGCAACAGCTTGGGCAGCTCCATCACGTACAAGTAATAGAAATTATACAATTTTGTCAATCCATTCATTATATATTATAGACATACATTCATTCTCTCCATTCTTTGAACAATTGTCTTGTTTCATCTAATTAATCTTTCTTTTATCGTCCTTGGCCTTTCTCTACTAACAGGCACTGCAAAATATTTTTGTAATAGCTAATGATTATGAATTAATAGCTTCGTTTTTCATCCAAATATATATATATATATATATATATATATATATATAAATAAAATTAATTTGAAATACTGACACTATATGCATATATCTCAGTTATCTAATAATATTTCCGTACTTATTTATTTTCTATATTTTCATTAACGAAATTTCGTAAGTAAATAAACGCAGAGATTCAAAAAATTATGCATTTTTTCGTGAAAGTTTAATATTGTTTCCTTGGGTTATTTTATGTAAATTGATTTGTGATTATATTTGTTTCTTGTAAAAAAATTCCATTGTATAATAACATATGACATATAATAAATAATAACATAACATGTAAAAGATCTTCATCCAGTACATATCTATATATAATCAAATTTATGTTTTCTAATCTTATTGTATAGAATAAACAATTTGATTTAAGATTTGCTGTAAAATTTGATAATTAGTTTGTATAATGTTATTAAAAGATAATCAAAATTTCTTCTATTCTCGTTATTAATCAATTAATCCTATAAATAAATTTTTTTATATATTTTTGTTGCTTTAAACTACCAATATTGATTAAAAAATTTCCCGAAATAATATGAGTTTAAGGGTTTTTTTTCCCTGTTATTATTTATTTTTGAACACAAACATTAATATTATAAATAAAAATTCTTATTTAATACATACATTATTTATTAAAATTTTACCGCATTGTTTTAAATTAGAAAGATATATTCTCGGACAAATGAAAATTAGCAAAAACCAATGGTGACCCTTTTTTTCTTCTGTGAATTTATCCAACAGCTGTACGATCAGAAACGGGAAAGAAAATTTCGTTTCTGAATATAATTTCATTTGAAATGCAGACTGTCACATACAGTAGTGGTAGTAATGGTTTAGAAGACTAAAGGGATTAAATGTAAACGTGCAATGCATACTGAATGACAAATACGACGGTCACTAATTGCAAATGTCCTTAATTGCATGTCACGTAAACTTCGGTAGTTTATGTAGATTAGATGAAAATGATCATAGTATTTTGTAAACGTTTTAATTTAAACTTATAATTTCTTCCTCTAACAACCCTTCCCTGATTATACAACAATATCTCTATCTATTCTGCTCTCCCCCTCCCCTCCAATAATAATTATGAGCGCACGTACTTGTGTATTAATAATAACTATTAAGAATGTTTATAATCTTTAAAACACTGTTATTTAAATTTCCTTATTCTATTGAAAGAAATATTTGAACCGCCTTTATTCATAACTATATATCACCTTAAACCGGCATATTTAATAAATTTATATATTTTTTATAATAATTATTTATAAACAAATTATAAATTGCATCAATTGATTATATAATATATATATTTTTTATTTCTTATATATATATATATATATATAATGCACTTGGTTACTTAAATTTTTCGTCCTTTTATTATAAATAATAATATTTTTTTATTAAATATAACTTAATAGTTATAGTTGCGTTTAATTTATATTATATCTAATTAATATATTTTATATATAATATTTTTTCATTTATACTTCGAAATGTTTTTCAACTCAATAGTTAGCTCTGATTAAATACACATTTTTCTATTTTAAAGGGTTTAATCTTAATTTTAATTTCTCTCATTTTCAATGTAAATCGATTGTTATTATTACACTACGTATTTCAAAATTACAAAAAAAAAATGATTCGAAACAAAATTTTTATTTTAGTACAACTTCTTAACTACAGTATAAGTACTTAATGCATTAAATTGTTAGACTTCAAAACAAAACAAAAAATGGTGAAAACAATACATAATATAAAATTTAAGATACATTTAATATTACAATTAAAATTAAATAAATAGTTTTTAATCGGAGTTACCAATAGTTTTACAATTTTACGATATAAATAGGGAAACCACTAAGAACGGAATAAAATAATTAACGATATTAAGCTTAATCTATAACAAGTATAGACAAGTTTAAAGAAATGCTATTTTTTTACTGTAAAAAATGAATAAACATATGTCTCATCATAGATTAAAACTTTCATACACGAAGGATTTTACATTGCGATAAACAAAACGAAATATATTTTCCCTTTTTATTCAAAAACTTTAACGGATATAGAGACCGTCAACTTGATTATTAATAAAATTATGATATAATTGGTACTACATTGTATATTAGGAGTCAGTCTTCATTATTTTCTTGCATTAATGATCTACGGCATACATAAACGTTTTAAAGAAAATATTAGGGAATGTTAAATCAATAATGTACAATTAGCAATGAAGAAATTAGTTATGCAGTATTGCTGAAGTTACATCTTTTAGAGAAACGAAACTTCAAATAGCCTGAACTGGTATATTACGACTACTACTTCCATTTATTAATTAACTTAGGAATACTATTAGATATAAAATATTTTGCATTGATCCAGAAATATTTTTAAATGCCAAACAATAAGAAATAAACATATTGAGCATCCAGGATTAAAAGCTTACGAAAAGTATTAAAAGATTACAAATTTTCATGAAATAGTATATTATTTATTGGTCATTTAAAATTAAATTACTTAACGACATTTTTCATAGATATTATTATTGAATACAAAATATAATTTAATAGAGATAAGTAATTAATTAATTGATTATTGTACCATCATATTTAAATATAGTAAATTTTTTTTTTAATCATTCAAGTAATAACACGATAAATAATCTTATTAATTATAGTGATATTCTGTACATTTTTTTTCTCTTAGATTTGTTCTTAAACAAATATTTTCAAATATAATTTTAAGCTTTGATAATATAATACTTAATGTTTCCATTTCTAACTAAAGTAAATGTATTTTATTACTTTTTAAGTGAATATAAATACGTCCTTTCTCAAATCTAATATTGAATCTCATATTTTATATTTAAAAGAATTGTAACATTTACTAATATCACATTAAATTTTTAACAGAATTTAATATTCTATATAAAACTTGTTTGCCAATATATTTAAATAAAATATTATAAATGTCTTATTGTAATAATCATTTATTACAGAATATCTTAACTGTTATTCAAACATAAATATTAAACAATAAAATATTGTAAGCTCGTAAATACACATTATACAAGTTATCTATATCTATTGTTTTATGGGAAGATATATTCTGGATTTTCATTGGCAATTATGGAAACCGAAGATAGAGATTTAGCGATTCTCGATTCATGAATATGGGCGTGTAATTTTCTGTAATAATACGCTCTAATGCAATGTTATATTCCCCACAAATGCCACCACTTTCTAATCCCTAGATTTATCTTAATTTACAACTATGCAAATGTATAATATCTATAATTCTACAAACAGCATATATATATATATATATATATATATATATATATATATATATATATGTGTGTATATGACATATCGGGGATCTGATGATTTATAAAATCATAAGCAGAGTATAATCAACAATCATTAAATATTCAAATAAAAAATTTGATAAATAATTTGGAGTGTGTTAATTATAAATACAAACTAAAAATATACTATATTTAAATAGTCAGAAATTTATAAAAGGAATGCGATTATAATATATAAAATTTAATATTCTATATAACTTTAAAAAAATTATTATTATTTCAGTTGTTAATAAAACAGCAAAATTAATTTTTTAAAGTATCGAAAATTATTATCCAAATTAATAAAGTGTTTCCAGTAATTTGCATTTACTATTTTATATAAAAAATTTATTTACACTACAATTTTTCATAATTCAATTAAATTCATAAATTAAAAAAGGGTAATTTTCAAATAAACTGGAAATATTGTACATCTTGAAAAAAATAATTATTTACAATATAATACGGGTACATTCATAATTTATTCGATTAGTATAAAAATAAAAAATAAAAGTGTTTCTTACCATTCAAACTCTAACGCACCTTTTTTGAATAATTATATTAAGGAAAAATTGTTGAAAAATATTAATAAAATATAATGAGGTACTAGTAGCAATTTAAATAATCTTTGGAAATATTGTAAATAATTTATAAATTGTATTTAAGAATTTTGCTAGTTTTTCTTTTTAATTACAAAATAAGGTTTATATGGGAAAATGTGTAATAAATTAAATGGGTATAATATAATAATGAATGTTTGAATGGGATATATAAAAAATATTTAATATTATAACCTACTATATTTTTTATGTGTAATGATAAATGTCTCATAATAATTAATGTTACAGCTTTTAATTTAATATAGAAGAATAATTATTGTAATGTAGACTATTTAAAAATTATCGTACTATTTACAAAAATCATGATTATTAAAGTTACTATTATGATTTATATTTTTTTATTATGATTTTTCTATGTATATTCTACGTATTTGGAGTAATTTTAATAACAAAAAAATTATATTTTGTACTATAATAATTAATATATATATATATATATATATATATATATATATATATATATATATATATAATGTAAATTTAATTTAGGCGATGTATAATTATGAAGATATTAGTAATACATTTCATATGTAGATAGAAAATGTAAGAATAGAAAATTGATTAGATTCCACTAGGTCTATAAACTACCAGATTCAATGAAAAAACCCTTATTTTAACAGAGAAAAGGAGAACATTTATTTTTTTTTTGATAAATTCTGGAAAATTATGAAATACTGAAAGTCTTAATATAAGAGGATAATTTATAACTAAATATAAAATGATATGTAATTTTACTAAAACACACTTTTATTGAAGTGTTTAAAAAGACATATGTTTCCAGGAGTGATAAGTATAATATGATGCAGCATTGACTTTACAATTAATTGAAATGATTGGTATTATCCATAAATAGCTACAGATACACATACTAGCACAACTAATGTGCAACAATTGACGATAATTTAATTATATTAATATAACCACATGTCTATGTAATTCATCTAATAAATAAATTATCCTATCTATAAAAAGATTAAAAAAGATAAATTAACCTATACTCTGCACATTATATAAATGAGATACTTTGAAAAGTGAAAAAAAATTTCAAGTTATTTTTTATCTATCTAAAAAATTAATACTACGAAAGAAAAATAAAATATAATTGATTCTAGATAAAGAAATTTATTATTAAAAAAAGATTTGATAATATATATATATATATATATATATATATATATATATATATATATATATATATAACATACTTTCATATGATGCAGTAACAAATTCTTAATCATAATTTGGTCATTCACTATTATATGTTGATAATGTTTGATTTTTATTTACAAATCATAAACTACATAAATTTATTTATAAATTTAGTTTTATAGTGTAGTAAATATCCTAAGTAATAGAACACTAACGAAATTCATAAAATTAATACATTCCAAAATTGTTATAACTTATATAGTAAATAAATTTAAGAAGTTGTGTTATCTATTAATCATTCGCTTTTCTGTTTTCTACATAAAAAATATCTTGTATAACTTAGAATAAATTAGTATTATACTTTATACAAAAATACTTTATATTTTTTTACATTATCGTTACACTTCGTAAATCTAAGATGAAAACATTAATGTTTGCAGAGTGAAGATTCGTTAATATCTGAAAGTACTGATACATCCGGCAGTAGTTCTTCAAATTCAACTACGGAAGAAGACTCGAGCAGTGAGGTCACTTGTAACATCAACCTCATCGAACGTCTTATACGCTCGCATCCAGTCTGGTTCTTACCCGGTATTCAACGGGCTGGAGCCTTTCACTTGCTCCAAGGAAAAGAAGAAGGGGTAAGCAGCATATTATATGAAACCAAGCTATATACGTTTGAAAACATGTAACTCCCTTATCCCTTTTTTTATTTAATTTTAGTATTTTTTTGACAAATTTACTTGACAATTAATTAATTCATGCAATATATGTGCAATTATTTAACAAACAAAGTTTATATATTGTGCCATCTGGGGAAAAATTAGCTAAAAATGACATGAAAATTTTTGCAATTTTTCTATTATATATTATATATATTAACATATATAAATTAACTTTTTATTAACTAAATTTCAATTAAATTGCTTTGACTTGTTTCTTATATTTTGTTTCGATTATCTTGTGTGCAAAATTTGGTCTGTAATAAGTAAGTTAATTGATAGCCAAGAATTTTATATTACATTCTCATTATAGTTATTATTATTAATATTTATATTTACAGACTAATACTATATATATCAAGAACGTTGATTATACTTTCTAAAGAAAGCACATATTATTCAAAGATATTGAATGACAGTTTAAAAAACATTCTTTGCCTTTCTATATTGTAAGATAATAAAACGATACTACGTAGGTAATAAGCTTTTGATGTCTATTTCTATATTTTAATGTAATAAACAAATTTATGACATTTCGATACGTTAGTATACATTACAGTATTATTAAGGAAACTCATATTTTCAATATAAAAAAAAGATGTAACAAATTTATATGTTAATTATAAATAAAATATTTAATATTTCATAAAACATTCAAAATAAATTTAATGTTATTTTATTATATAGACTTAGAATATATATATATATATATATATATATATATTATATTAATCTACGTAATTTTTAAAATAATAATTAATAAATAATAAACCATTTAATTAATAATTTTTATCAATTTTAAAATGATTTTAAAATATAAGTCATTCTTAGAAATAATAATACAACATAAAAATATTATTATGATTATTAAGTAAAGCATTAGAAATCGTTAATAATGACTTATTTTAGAGAATATAGTATCTGATAAGAATTAAAGCTAATTTAAAATTTACCAAATCAATAATAGTATAAAAACCATAATCAAATTAAATTTAATATAAAAATTTGGTTTAAATTAAGACAACGCGTAAAGCTGGTCTTTATTACTGATTTATTTATTTCTACTCATCTCGAATAATTTCTACTTTTATGATTATTATTAATAATACTATTAATATTTTCATTATTAAAATATTTTATTGTATATATAGGGTGAGAATAAAATTTTATATTTTTATCAAATTTGAAATAGATTTTTTATAACTAGTAGGTATTTAAATTGAAAATAAAGACTAATACTATAAAAAAAAAAATATATATATATATATATATACAATCTTTTCGATATAGTGTACCTACAGACAATTAGTTATTACTCTTGAAAGTATAATGCAAATATGCAAAACTTAAATAATATTATTTTTACAAGTTAGATGAACAAGTAAATTTTAATCAAACTTATTAAATAGGTTGCAATATAAATGAAACATCGAGATTGAGTTATTAGTTTATATAATCATTTATAAAATGCAATAATTTTTTCATTTATCATGAGAAAATGTAAAAGGTAGTAGATTCAAATATTTTATAATTTGAATAAATTTGTGATGATATTATACAACTATTATTTATTTGTAAAAAATAAAACGTTTAGATAATAATTTAAAGGATCAAGAGAAAAAAGATAAATAATTAAACTATTTATTTTAAATAATTATTTAAATACTAATAATTTCTAGATTAGATCAAAATTAATTTGATAAGTCTTCTAATTTGATAATTTTTCTATTATATTCTTAAATTACTCAATATTCTTTAGCCAATTTTTTCGAATAATATTTAGTACTAAAAGATGTTTTTTCCGTAAATATCATTACAATTTCAATATATAAATACACGTTATAAAATAGTAATTCTATATCAAAATTATTTTTAAAATTAACGTATTTAAAGAATTAAGATATCGTTTTTAGTACTTTGACAATATAATTTTAACCTAAACTGTTCTTCTGCAAATTCTTCTGTTTTCTTATATTTATGTTTATAAGTTTTTTTTTCTTATTAAATAAAATATATAATTAAAATTTCATTACATTAAAAATTTCTGAGAAGATGTTACATAAATTAATTTGAAATTTAAATTTTTAATCAATCTTATTTATAATTATTAATTAGGTAATTAAAATTTCTAAATATTTAAAAATATTATATCTGAAATATTTAAATTAATTTAACTCAATCGTACTAAATTCGCAAAGTATTGTGCATTAATTGTCTTTTTATCCTCATTACCTATACTCCACTCTATTATTTTAATTATCTTTTTCAGAATTTTGTTGTACGTCAATCCAGTCAAAGTGACACTATGGCCCTCTCTGTAAGATTACCACCAGGTAAAGGACCGTACATTGAACATTATCTTATTCAAGCAAACAAAGGGAAATTAAGCTTGGAAACGAGTGAAAATGTGTTCGACAACATTCCCTCTTTAATTGCTCATTACTCTCAATGCTGGTGAGTTAAAAAATTTAAACATCATTAAAATAGAATTTGAATAGAATTCTTTAATATTAAATGTACTTTAAGCAACCTTGCAATATAATTAGTTAATTAATCATTTATCCAAGATTATCATGTTATATATAAATTATGACATATTTCAATTTACTACAAAGATAAAAAGGATTCAATTTTCTTTGCTTTATTTTTTATAATTTTAGCATAATATTTTCTAATACCAAAATATATTTAATGTATGATCAATATTTAATACAATTAAGTATCGATCATAGAAATAGGTATATTTTTATCGTTAATAAAGACTATCTTTATATACAAACAGCACATTAAATTGATATTTATTATCATATTTCATATAATTTTTTATAATATTCAATTACTTTAATAATAATATTAATTCAATATTATAATTTGCATATAAATAATTTGTATTATATTTATTAAAAATAAATGAATTTACTTATCTAAAAATTTTATCTAAGAATTTTCTGCATATCTAAAGATATTATAAGTGTTTGTATAAAAACTACTATATATATAGTATCGTAAAAGTATTTTCGTTGATGAAATATCAAACAATAATAAAATAATAAAAAAATGAATTGCAAATTCATGTAATTATTTATATGTAAATACTATTTATATTGTAAACTGCACATGCTAATTACTGTACATTATGACTCAAACACTTTACGAATTTTAATATTATTTTGATAGATATTTACAATTTAAGAATTATAATAAGAATAAGAATTTTTATATCCGCTCATAGTATTATATCTAAATTTTGTTGCTTTTCTGCTAACCTGTTTTTCAAATTTACATAACACTTATTTGATATTGTCATTGGTGAGAGCAGCGATGAACTTCCGGTTCAACTGACACTACCAAAAGCAATGCGCGAAGCTAAGAATAGACAACAACTCTCATCACTGGCACTTCTCGGACAAGAGTTCTGGAGGTATCCAATGGCAAATTCTAAATCAGCCGAAAGCAGCAGCAATAATAGTAACATCTCGAGTCTCAGTAGTTTTCACACTGGTAATTGGCGCATATGAATTTTTTTATTATTCTTCGTTACATAACTTTACAAATCCCATTAAGGTACCATTGCTGAAATATATCGTTGATGATATGTTAATACTATCGGTAATATATGAGTATAAATATATGTATACTATAGTAAATTTATATATTAAATGAATAAATTATTGCATTTTAGATTTCAAATGAATTATTTTGGATTATATCTATTTTTATTGTTTATGTAATGTATATTATCTTCAACTGTAATTCAATAAAATATATAATTACATATTATTATTAGTATAATTTCTATTGGGTAAATATCAGTAAAATTTAAAAAGAATATTGTAAAAATGTTTAAAATAATTGTTTCTTATTACGAATACAAAAATGAAACACGAATTAAATCATTGCAATAAATCATATTAAAAAAGTTAAACTTAATATATAAAAAGATTAAAATTTATAATAAATAACTAGACAAACATTAAATTTATTGTTTTTAAAATTATAAATTTACTATTATTAGCAAGAATATATTTTCTTTATTCTAATATTAATTTATATATTTTTTATAAAATCTTAAGACGAAATGAATTATAGCAATACACGTAAATTAAATACTGGAATTTATTAATTAGCTTATTAGCATGAAAATTAGTACTTTGGGTTTAAAAGTCGATACCTTTTGAGAAATAGTAAACGCATTATTATGTTTTTTTTTTTTTTTTTTTTTTTTTTTTTTTTTTTTTTTTTTTTTTTATAGTTCTAGTTCATTTTTTATAATACTAATTTTATAGAAATATATTACTGATGTTAATATAATTCAAGAAAATTAAATATTAATAAAATTATTGTCGTATGAATATTAGTATTTAATTACGAACAGTATTTTTTTCTAAAACTTATTTATGATATTAATAGCTTTATACATCAATTATAATCCATAAAATTACACAAGAAAGATTTTTTATATAAGTTCATAAGTTTTTATTGAAGTGCGTCATAATAATGCGATTCAGAAAATAATAGGTACATGATCGATCCATTGATTAATTAATTAATTAAGTGGATGTCAACATTTTAAATTCATTTAACGTTTAATTATAACAATCAATTATTTACTGAATTTATTTGTTATTATAGGTAATAATAATAATCACCACCGTAATCATAATAATAGCCTGAGTACATCCGCAATGGAAAATATAGTATTAAATCTCACTCCGATCTCAACAAAAGAATCTGGTAAGTGTTATATATTTAAATAAGCTCAAATCAATATAGAAATACATATTTATTTAGCCTCAAGAAAATATTAATAATTAATTAAAAATTTATGTACTATTATTATTATTACAAGTCAATTTTAAAAAATTTTATAATAATATAAAATGTAAATATTATGAAATTTTATATTGTCTCAGAAAATACGCCATCAATAAATACGAAGCCTACGTTAACTTTAACTACATTGAAACCGCGTTTACCACGTCCAAAACCACCAAATACATTGAATTTAACTACCTTCAACGATCTATTAGATATTAAACGAGAAAATAAACTATCACCAAATGAAAAGCTGTCTCAACGATTAATTTCTCCAAACCTTGTTCAAAATTTTGTGAAATCATCGTCACCATTAGTTCACAATATTGACGCATACGTTGTGAGTCCAGCAAATAATTTAAACAGTTCCTGCGAATTAATAAAAGTGAATAAATTGAATAGTAATAATTCATTCATTACATCCAACATGCATCGAAATATCGCAAATGGATCTAATAACCTATCAAGAAAAACTTCACCAAACATTATTCAAACATCAACTGAGGAATATCATTCAAAAAGTCCCCCACCACCACCCCCGCGTTGGGCTAAACCTGGACAACAAATGCAAGAAACAATGCAAAAAAATTTTTTGGTTACGACTTGCACGACATTCACTGTTAATCAAAATTGCGATGCTGAAATTATTGAGGTAATTCTATTCTGTAAAATTTAAAAAAAATTTATATTAATTTTGGTTGAAAAATAATTGTCCATTTATATTTAAATAAAAGATGCTTCAAAAATTGTAATTTTAATTTCGAAATATTTTTTAAAATTGAAATATAATATAAAAATACAAATAAATAATAATATAATAAAATTATAAGATGAATATAATTTTAGAAAAATAGAAATTAATAAAGTTAATACATAAAATTGCAATTAGTATTAATATCTTGACTAATATTAATTCAAATGATAATTTTCTTAGAAACTAGTAATACATTAAACCTATTAATATACACAATAATTAAAGTATTTACAATAATATTAATCATGCTTTTAATCATATTTATTGAAATTTTTATGTAATTTAAATAGAATTGAGATTTATATAAAAATCATAGTCGTTCAATTTAATTCAATTTAGAAAATGAAATAAAAATTTATCGATTTTTTTTTATAAATAGCGAATATACGGTTACTTAAAATAAATGGTTGGAATTAATGAAAACAAAATATTTTATTAATAATAAAGTATGAAGTGGTAAAAATATATGATGTTTAGCAGTATTATTCAAATTATTATGAAATACTTGTCATAAAATAATTAGTATTTACAATAGATAAAATAAAAACCAGATAATTGACGTTTTTCTTTATGAATATGTATAGTTGTAAGCGAAGATATATCTATATATTTTGTATAGCAACACCTTTTCTCATAGATATAATTTACGTATTGATCTCTATATCAGAAAAATAGTAAATATTAAATAATTTTTTCAATTTTTTCAATTCAACAAGATATATATAACAAATATATATATCAACAAAATATACCATAAAATAAACATAAAACAAAGTTATAAATTTGTAAATTAAATCATTATTCTAAATATAAGTCATTAATTAATTATTAATATTTTGTGTGTGTGTGTGTGTGTGTGTGTGTGTGTGTGTGTGTGTGTGTGTGTGTGTGTGTGTGTGTGTGTGTGTGTATTTTTAATAAATGTAACTTTCTCTTCATTAGTTTTATCGATCTTAAGCTGAGCGTCTTATCTCGCAATCGTATCTCAATCAAAACAAGTTGCTTATTGTATTGATTAAGTATTATTACACTTGTTACACATAATTGAGATTTTGTATAAGAGGCTAATTTTATTAATTCTTTTAATATTTTTAGTTAACGATGATTGGAATTTTTTATTCTTTTCAAGTCAAATTTCTATAAAATATATTAATATATTTTTTTATTATTCAATAATAATTCATGTTCTTTTTTAAAAAGTCTCTCTAAATTTGAGATTATATAAAATATTGACGATACAATCGTATTTATCGGTGTTTCTTTGTTTGTTTTATAGTCAGCATCAATGGATGGAAATACACCTCTGTTGCTGAGTCCACAAAGCGCCTATTCTAATAAATCCCTAAGTTCCAATCCCTCATCCAATAAATCTTCATCAACAAACTCATCATCTTCAATACTTTCTCCGACCCCCATACTTCTTTCAGTCTCTTCAAAACTTACTAACGGAATTCGTACTCCTCAAGATCTCTCGCCAATATCAATAACACAATCTGGTACGAATAAGATATCGAGGCGACGTAAAGAAAGAGATGCTCGTAAAAATTCACAACATTATCAAGAATCAGATATTATGGAATCATATTGTAGAAGCTCACCAGCTGATAAAATCTCTGATTACGAAGACATTTGGAATACAGCTGATCATTCAATGTCGACTAAATCAGCAAAAAACAGCATGTTAACGGGTATTATTAATGAGACAACAAAAGAGCAGAACAATGAATGTGGGAATAAAATTGTAAATCCTGTAATTGTTCAATACCAACCATGTGAATTAAATAAAAATGTACAGCAACGGCAGCTAACGACAATGCACGATAAGTTAATAATAAGAAGTGATAAAACATGCGTGAATGAGAAACTCAGTTATAAAAAAATCACAAGCCCGGAATTCAGTAGCTTTAAGCCTCTTCAAGACATAAAAAATCTAAAAACTATATCTGCTTCGAATCACATGACAATAGAAAAGCGGCTAGATCTTTTTTCCAAAGTTTGTAAGTAAATACATTTTTCACCAGTGCATTTACCACATAAATACAATAATAAAAGTGTATTCAATTATTAAAATTTATTGTATATAAACGAAAAAAATGCTTTTTCTAAAAATTGATTAATTATCATTAATTACAATGTACAACATTTTTCCCGATTTATAAATAATTACAAAACTATAATTTTTTATAAAAAAAAAAAATTCATAATATATTTTTATAAATCTGTTATATTTTAATAATAAGAATAAAGATGTTTTGCCTTTTTTCTTATAATTTCAAATATGTAAGATAAATTTTTATAGTATTATTGATATAAAAATTAAAACAAAATAGTACATATATTCGATCTTTTTTTCATTTAATACCCTATAATCACTAATAACCATCTAATAACAACGAATAATCACCCAATAATCACTAATAATAGTATTGTATTTTGAAATTGTCAAACACTGACAAATTTTATTTATTGATTCACAGGTAGTAGAAATTTAGTCGATAGACCTTCGGATCTAACATCACCATGCAACAATTTTAGTCCCGTGTTCGATTCTAGTGAAAATAATAGTTCAATAACATCTGAAACTAAGCAAAGTAATTCCTTGTATGCAGAACCTGCAGATGCTATAACACGGCCTATCATCGGCTTTGTTGCCCGTAGGCATCCTAAAACCTTAAATAAAATAACGAATAAGTTTCGACATAGTGAGCCGAGTAGGCTACAAACACAGTTGATTACCAATTGCAGCCTCGAAGTAACTGCATCCCATTCGAATGATTGTGATGACTCAGAAGAGACAGAAGACAAAACTCCACTTATTTCATCTTCTATGGATAATTTAGCGAAAAAATTAAATACCAAAGAACAGAAAAAATGTTTACCTTCCGTAACCAAACCTGTTCATCCGCCAAAGATCAAACCTAGGATCTTTAAAGATACTTCATGGACTATAGATTCAAGTTGGGAATTTATTGGTAAGTATCGGTTATTATAAATTTTTTAGAGCTTATAATATGTTTCTATAAGTAATAGAAGAAAAACTAATTAATCATAAATTCAAAGATAATAAAAAAAATGCATTAAGAAGTGCATTATTTGTTCAATGATTACCTACCTTTGCATTAAAAAAAGTAAAAATAAATTTGTATGCATCTCAATTTGATAAATAATAAATATCTTTAATCTATCAAAATTCTGTTTCTATATTTGCAAACTAAAATTTTAAGAAATCATGCAATATTGCTATATAATAATATCGTATGCAAGTATCCGAATTTTAGCAACAATTATCATATGAAGATTAATTAGAATTCATTGTTGAGAATCATTGAAAAGCTATATCAAACTATAAAAATATAGTAATAGTTTAAAAATTACAATTATAATTTAATATATTAAATGTTAAATAATTAATGTACGCTTTCAATTTTTGTATTATAATTTTTAAATATTCTAAGCACTTTATTTTTATCAAAATTAAAAGATATAATTATGAAACTGACTAATTACATGGAATATGAAAAAATTCTACATCAACTAACATCAGTCGATATAAAAAAATAATGAAAACATTCGTTTAATGTTATAAAATTAGAGAAAGCGTTTTTTCATAAAAATATAAAGAAAGAAAAAGAAAAAAATTCATAATTATAATCGAAAACAAAAGTAACTAAAAATTTAATTTACTGTACCTATAAAAAATGCTATAAATTTATAAAAGAATTTTATCAATTATTTAATAAAAGTTTGCTAACTTAAACCTTTCAAAATAATCGGCGTTTTTATGATGTAATATATATATATATATATATATATATATTTATATGTTACATTATATTAATAATCATCATTTTTGTAATGATATATCTTTGATACATTTCTTATTTCAAATTAGGTCATGATACTAATGAATGCGAACCCGATTGTGATTACGATGTTGATTACGACTCAAATTATATAGGACAAAATTTTCCAGATGAAGAACAAGACAAATATATTCTACGAAATACTTTAACAGCACAAAGTATCATTTTACAAAGGTAAATAATCTAATTTACTATAAAGAATTTATTTTAAATATTTTGAAATTATGTAACGCGCAATCAATATTAAAGTATCATATTTAATTTCGGAATCTAATTAATAATAATTTTTATAAAAAATACATTTTTATAAGCTTGGTCTATAACATTTTTTAACGTCATAGTAACGAAAATAGATTCTTGAATATACATATAAACGTGATAAAATTGTAAAAATTTGCATGACTTGCATATTTAATATATTATATATAACTGCGTGCAGATATAACAAGGATAAATAATGAAAGTACAATAATAGAAAATGCACATGAAAATTTATCCTTAAAAAAATATATATTTAAGTATAATTTATGTTTGACCATTTGATTTCTCTTAATACGTCGATTTCAATTATGAAAAAAATGTATATCACCTACATTATTCAATCCCATAAAAAAAAGTACCTTATCATTTATATATTTTTCAAATCCGTGTTTTATTTTAACATAAGGATTGTCTATATTAGCATTTTTGCATTTATTTTCAAACATCAAGAATTCATAATTCCATAAAACCCGAAATAGTACTAAATCACTTAAACTATGAATTTAAAATTATTATCAATTATCTGACAATTATATTTAAAATTATTAAAATACTAATAGCTACTTGATACTAAAAAACGATTATAAAAAACTGGAAATTTCTTTAATTGTTCGACAAATTTGTATATGTTACCTTAAATAATTGAGAAATATCATTGTAAGAAGGAATGTTAAGCACCAACATTGGTAATTATATGCTTTATATAAAGCGACTATCGTAGTATTGTGTAATAAATGAAAAATATTTTTCATATTTCTATAAGATATATTAATTTGATTCTAATAATTTTAATGAGATAAATCTATTTATTTTAATAAATGCCCACTATCACTAAATTATTGAATAATATTAATCACAAAAAAAAAATAATAAAAATAAAGAAATTTCAAATTTATATTAGCTTTTACTAATTTAATTAGGATTTTTAAGATCGTTGCTTAATTTCACAGATATCCAGAATTGCTAATTCAGTCAGACTTAGCGGAAAGTCTTTACAGTGATCGTAATTCATCGTATGACAACGTAGAAAAGCGACAAGAACGAGTTAGTCAAACTACGAGTTCAACGAATATGATAACGACATTGGATCCGAAAGAAAATCGAATATATGGTCCGTCTGAGTCGCAAGCGATATCGAAAGCAAATGATAATGACCACGAAAGGTGTAACAAAAGCTTCAAGGAACAAATCGATCCACTTCTATGTAAGTTGAACATATTTTGTCCGTACTTTCATTATAGAACTTCTTATATCTTCTCCATTGTATTTCTTTCTCTGTTTTTAAATACTACTTAACGCTAAATCAAACAAACCATAATTACTTATTACAATGTTTGCTTGAAATTTTTTTTTTAAAATTTATTCTTAATTGTAAAGAAACCTTAAGATAAAGATGAAGATAAACAAAATTAATCAAAAATAACTTTCCAAGATTCAGAAAAAGCATATTTTTTTTCAATATTGAATTTTATAATGTATATTTTTATTAAATTGATATCATTTAATTAATACGAATAAATGGAGAAAAAAGTTAGTTGTATATAATCATTATTAATTTTTTATTCTATGTATCTAAACCTACCACAAAATAATAATAATTAATATCTGACTTACAGTTTTTCATGGTTATTTTAAATCTCTATTAATTTATATTAAATCAATATTAATTTTTATTAAAACTTTCCATTTATATTTTATAATTCTAATTAAACCTTAATAAAGTATTGAATACTAATTATAATAAACATAAAATAAGTACAATAATCGATTCACGAACTCCATAAAACGTTTATTTTTCTTTCCATTTTATGTATTATTAGCAATATCTTTCATTATTAGCAATATATTTCATTACCAACAATATTATTATTTTTATCTTTCAAATTACATACCTACTAAAGTATGATTCAAAAAAAGTATTGATGTATTCGTTTATTGTAATCTACTATACTTTCGTTCATATTATGTGCCTCAAATAAATAAAATATGGTAATTAAAATAGTATTTAAAATAGTAATTGAAAAATTTTTTATTTTAATAAAAAATGTTATATTAATATGAAATATAATATATCGGAAGAAAAAGTATATTATTTTAATTTAGTAAAAGTTAATACATTTTTCATATTTAAATGCATAAAAAATAACATTTTGTATATATAATAAAACAAAAATTCTTATTGTCAGCCAATGTGTTATTTATATATATTTTAATAGTTCCAAAATATGTTAATGTTTCTATTGTAAAAGAAAATTTATACTGTATATAACGATGAATGAATGAATTATACCTAATTAACTGAACAATTATGAACGAATTATAACATGTAACGATATAATCAAATAATTTATACAATTCTAAAATACTAATAAAATTTAATTTATAAACTATAATTTTACAAATTATTAATTTCTTTGATGAAATATTGATGAATAATTGATATTTTGACTTCTTGTAGTAAATCTTAATTAAAAAAATAATATTTTCCATTATATGAAAATTTTGTAATTATCGTGCTACAAAAGAAATATTTCTATTATTTGTAATAAGTAACCTTCTGTAAATCACTATTATTAATAAGTAACGATAAAAATATTAAATAAAGAATATGCTCATGTTCTCACAGCACCACCTAGACTACTGGTACTGAAAAATCGTGAAAATGTTGGTGATTCTAGCGTCACAGGTTTGGCAATACGAACTTATGCACTTGAACTTGCTACTGACAAGACAACCACCTTCTCTCAGAATATCGAAAACTTTATTCAATGTACGAAGGAAGGTAAAGAGGCTTCGCCCCATATTGTTATGCGTAACATGCGTCAATTCATGTCTGGCATGAAGAATTATTTGGTATGTATGTATGTATGTATGTATGTATATATGTGTGTGTGCGCGCGCGCGCGCGCGTGTGTGTGTGTGTTTATGTAAAAACTGTACCACTTGTTAAATATTTAAATAGTTATAGCTTTCAATATATACTAAAATTATAACAATTTATAATGTTACAATAATAATAATAATAATAATAATAATAATAATAATAATAATAATAATAAATTAAATAAATTTAAAAACTTTACTGTAATATTTTTTGTATGAAAAACTTCAATTAGAAAATTCTATAAAACATGTATCATGAATTTTAAAATATTTTAAATTCAATAGTAATAGGCAATAAATTTTCAAAGTCTTAAATAAGTTTTCATAAAGAATATTTTCAATCTTAAGATAAAATTATAATATTTTCTGTATCAAGTAAGTTGTATGATAATTTTTTTCATTTAAAAAATCATGTTACTATTCAAATAAACTTTAAATAGAGTTCATGAGGATTTATGGTAAAGAAGAATTAAACGTTAACGTTTAGTATTCCATTTACGACAAATAAAATTGTGAAAAATTTTTAAAGGATTTAATTTAACAAGCAAACTATATTAAATATATTAATATAATATTAAAAATATTACTCAATACTAAAAATATGTTCTTAAAATAAAGAAATTTAAAAATGATTCAAGGTTAAACACGGGGAACGAGAGTTCGAAAAAGAAGTAGAGAAAGAGCGATTAAAACTGAAAGCCAATGAATTTCTTAATCTGGATGCGATACTTGAGAATGTTATGATGAGCTTGGTTGTAAGGCCATTACGCGAACATGTTTATAATCTCTTTGTTGAACATTATACAGCGAATGACTCAATACAAACTCTTGTTGAAAGCATACAACTTGCACAATCAAAACCTATACAAGATTTCGGTGTCCGGGTAAGTTGACATTTAATTAATGTTTCTTTTATTATTTTTTTTAGGATTTTTCTTGTTTTTCTTTATTTTCTTTATTAAAACTTTCTTTTACTTGCTTATTTGAACAAACTTTAATTCAATATAATAATTTCATAATTGTAAGCTCGTGATAAGTATAAAGTTGTACTTCCATTGCTATTAAATGAAAATAATTTAACATTGGATTCTTAAATTTATAAATTTATTATGATAATAGTTATCATAAAGGTTGATTTTTAAGAACGTAATATTATATTGAAAATAATCATTTTAGTATTTCAATTACAATAAAAATAATGTATTATTACATATAAAATTCATTTTGATTAAACTTTTTTATTGATATTTAATGCTGGGAGTTTTTTATTAGAAACTATAGGGAAATATAGAAATTATAATTTTTAGTTATTATGCTTGGCTAATCACAAAGTAATTCTTATGTATTAAATTGTACGTTTAAGTTTAATAAATTTTCTTTTCAGAAGACAAAATTCTTTTTAATACTATAAATATTTTAATTCTGATAATTCTGAATATGTTATCGCCGCTATGTTGTGATTTATTTTCTTGCGTACAAGAAACAGATAATTAACTGTATTAAAAAACATTGTAATTTATTTTAAACGACAAAATAATAAGATAATAAAATAAAACAAATATTGGACTACATTAATGAATTTTCGTCTATTTTTTTAAATTCTCAGCCCAAAATTATTCCTCCAACAGAGGCAAGTTTGAATCGCATTTTAAGGTACATCGAAAGATTACAAAAGGTTGATTCCCCATTTGAGAAACTTGAACATCTCCTTGCCGCTATTTCTGCCATTATAAATTCGGTGAGTTTAATATTCAAATACTTATAAAAGTTTAATTTGTGTTTTTTATTAGTTAATAATAATAATTATACATAATTGTTTTTCTTTTATAATCGTATAAAAAATTGAAAATTATTTATTACTTCTTTTACATATTCCAAAATAATCACAATTGAAATTGTTTTTAATTGTTTATTTGATTTCATTTATTGTAAAGTCCGTTACTTTGAAAGCCTATTTCCATAACATAATATCAGCAGTTTTTAAAGTAACAGAATAATAAATAAGAAACAATTAATAAACAAAAATTAAATACATATGTATAATATGTTATATTATTAAAACTGAAAATAATTAATTAAATAATAATATTTATCTATATGTAGAATCCCCTGTATGGAATTATATATATATATATTATATATAATAATTTATTATTCTTTACATTAAAAAATACAGCTATTATATTAAATTTTAGATTCTAAATTTTTATTGAAAAATATCTTTTCAACACCATTAATACAAAGGACCTTTTGTTATACATTAAATACTCCATGCGTGTACATTTATTATTACCAATTATTAAATAAATATCAATACATTTGTTGGACATTCTTCGCCTAAATAATTGGACTTAATAATTAATATTAAATCATATTATTGATATCATTATTATTGACAGGTAAAACACGCGAATTCAAGTAGATCAGTGACGTTAGGTGCTGATGATCTTCTACCACTTCTCGTATGGGTCTTGGTTCGAGGGAAAATCATCGATGCAGAAATCGAAGCTGAATATATGTGGGGTCTACTTCATCCATCTCTTCTCACTGGAGAGGGAGGTTACTACCTTACAACCCTTTCCAGTGCCGTACATGTTTTAAAAACCTTCAAATCTAGTCAAGGATCTACGTCCACTACAAATGTATGTCTAATATAAATACAAAATAACTTAGATCATTCTTAATACTTATTTTGGACCTTCAACATTCGATTATTAAAAGATCAATAAAATGTATATTTTAGTAATAACCAGTGTATTGTGATTTAAAAACTGAATGCTATATTTTTATGTTTTCTGAATATTCAAATTCATGAAATATTAGCAAATATATAATATTTAAAAAAATCACAACCATAATATTCCGAATCTCGATTTCATTTATTTTTTAGTATGTTTTTTCAGCATATATGGAGATGAAATAAATAATGAAATAAATGTACGCCAGTATATTATTTTAGATGAATTATTTTAAATAAAAAATTATAATTTACCAAGCTAATGAAAATAATAAATTTTATAAATCATATCAATTTTGTAAATAATATGAGTATAACTAAATTTCAATATTAAAATTAAATGTCAAAATATTGTCAATATCTATGAATTTTTATTTTATAAATTATTCATTTATATTTCGAAGCAGTTATTCTAAGTACAGTAATTAAGTTTAGTTACAGTTACAATTAGACAATTGAAGTTCAAAACGGAACTTCGCGAAACTCTGATTGACAATATTTATTAATAAATTTATTAATAAAATATTATCTATAATTGTATTTAATTAAAATTATATTTATAAAATATATCTCCAGGACTTAATTTAAAATAATGATGAGTTTTTTTTTTTTAATTTTATCAACATAATCATATAATACTTGTAAAAATATGCGTAAATAGTGTAGAATTAATAAATTGATTTTTATTTAAGTACGGATGTGGAACTCCAGATTGCTCCTCTGTACTTCGTATTCTTGTACCAGATGAATTACATGGCTCTCTTAACACCAGAGTACTTCCAATTCGACCAAATATGAATACCCGCGACGTTTGTCGTATTCTTGCCCATAAAATAAGATGTACAAATCCTCAAGATTACGGTCTTTTTAAACTAGTCCTTGGTGAAGGTAAATATTTATGCATCATTAACTGAAAATAAATAAAAATTTATTAAAATTCCTTATTTAAACACTAAGATTAACTTTATTTCATAATCATTAGGCAAATTGATTTGTATTTATAAAAATGATAAACATAAAATGATAAAAATATTTGAACTATATTTATATGATATTGGATTATTAATTAAATATTTATAAACATACGAATACAATATATGGTAAAATATCGATTGTCATTAATAAAATTAAAATATGTTTTTCATCAATATTTTTATGTTTCATTTAGAAAAATGCGTTAATTATAATAATTCCAATTTATAATTAAGATTACAATAACACATATCACGAGCAAAATATATAAAATGAAAATCAGGTATTGAAAATATTATCTATTCTTTGCAGAAACGCTTCTTGGTGATCAAGAATGTCCGCAAGAAATATCTCACTGTCTTTTTGCATATAAGCGAATCGATGCAAAAATTGCATGGCCGAAGACTGCCAATTCAGCAAGCGTCTTTAATTTTTGACTTTTTATTAACTGTCTGTCTCCAACGTATCGAAAAACATTTTTTTATAAATTTATTTTAATTGTAAGAATAATGAGAAAATATATATAAAATACCTGACAATAGAAAAATTATATATTTGACACTCATATTATTTTATACATATAATATTACTATCACTGTATCAAATAAGTAATCACTAATTATAAACTAAATTATATAATCCAAATAATTGTTAATTTGTTCATAATTCTCAAAATTTAGAAACAAAGTTTTTTGAATAAATCTTTGAAAAGTAATGATATTAAATTTTTGTATATAACAATTAATTTTATATTTATGTGCAATATATGCAAGCAAATGTTTATTATTGTTTCTTTTATTGAATTTTTATAGTTAATACATAAAAACTCAGTGATAAAGTACAATAACAAAGGACGAATGAAGAATGTGTTATACGAAGCATTATAAAAAAAAAAATGTGTGAGTACGTTTCATTTATAAATAAATGAATAAGCTCTTTAGAAAATAATTGAGAATTATTATATTTAAATTAACATATTATTGTATTATTTGTATCATTAAACTTGCAAAAATGATTATATTTAACGATTCTTAATATACTTTACTTAAAAATATTCTTGTAGTATATATAATTCTGGTGAAAATATTGATTTATTGCATGTTAATTTAAATAAATAAAAGAAAGAAACAATGAACTACAAGATATTTTAAACTGATTGATAATATAAATGAATATGAACTCCGAATGAGATTTAACTTAAAAATGTGTTTTTTCCTTAAAGATTAAAATTAAAAAAGTATTATATATGTGATAAAAACAAATGTATAAACATTTTAAGTATATAATAGATAAGTATTACCGATATTTACTGCCTAAAGAATTACCTCAAAATTTCTGTTGTTATCGTATTCTTGATCTAATACATTTTTTATAAAAGATTTAAGTATAAAAATAGTATCGAAAAATAGCTTTCTATAACGAAAAGAGATAATCTTCAAAAAGTACTTTCCACACGAGATACTTTGATGTAAAATTGGTATTACATGATTATTTAAAAACAAATTAGAACAAAAAATTACAGAAAATATGAAAAACGTAATAATGCCATGACTTTAATAAATAATTCAGTGTAACAGAAAAATTGATTCTATTATTTTATTACGTAAAAATGATATTTCTTAAGTACTACAAAAACATAAAAATTGTAATGTCTACATTGTGGATACGTCTTTTAGATTTATCAGATAATAATTTAATATACCTTTATTGTATTTACTTACGATTGTTCTTTATTATAATATTTTTATTATAATATTTTAAAGAATGCATACTGTATTATGTAAGTATTATTTGTACATAATCTGATAACATACAAAGAAAACGTACTTTAATATTACTAAATTTATTATTATTGTAAGTAGAACACATTAATCGCAAGAAATTAACAAAATTTTCCTTATTTTAAAAGAGGAAATTAAAAAAAATTATTTCAATTTATAAATATTTTTTATTTATTAAAAAATTTATAAGTAATATACAAATGTGCAATATTAGATATTTTTACAATATTGATAAGACTTCGTTTCAAATTACATTGAATCACTTATATAAAAAACTTTTCTCGTTCTTCCTGTAATCTAAACTTTGCAATTGTTTGTTTATATGTTGTAATGTAATCAAAAAATATATCTACACATTTGTTTTATTTACTGTTCAATTGAAATTCAATCTCCGAGGGGTAATAAAATCTTCTGTTGAAATCATTGCATTTGTAAATGTAAGTTTATTTTATTATATCTATATATTTTAAAAACTATATCTTAAAATTTAAGATCTTGAATTCGTAAAAATATACCAGAAGCGTATGTTCACGAATATTTATAAAAAGATACAATCATATAAATTTAATGCATAATAATAATAATAATAATAATAATAATAATAATAATAATAATATCAACAATAATGATAATGATAGAAAAGTGGTGGTATTAACAGTAATCGTAGCAACTGTTATAAGAACCAGAAGAATAATAGTAATAATAATAATGCTAGATACTAATTTTTGTAATTATTTATTATACACATTTAGAAAAATAATAAATTAGGCATTTGTGATAAAAATAAAATTATTCTTCTCCTAAAATATTCAAAATAATATTTTTTAATCAATACATTTACACTTTTTATTATAAAACAGTATTTAGCTATACATTTTTGAAATTCTTATCTTTTAAGACAAAATATCTTAAAGCAAATTTATATGTTTAATTTATAAAGTTATTACACTACTTATTAGCTCAATCTAAGAATATTTTATGTATATAAAACCAATTGCAATATAACTTTAATATTTATTAAGTAATTAATATAATGAAAAAGTTTCAATTAAATTTTAACCAATTATAATTTCATATAAATCTCCAATTACATAGTTTCTTTGAATTAAGATATATTTTATTTTATATTTACTTTTCTATTGATTTTTCGTTATATGATCTAAATTTTTTAATATTGAAAAAGTATTATTATAAATAATAGAAAGAATAAAAATAATAATGACGATGTAAAAGTTTTACAAATATTGATTCTACAAATTAAGCATAGAGACAATTACGCAGATGCCTTCAATAATACTCTATTTTGCATATAAATATTTGGTCTATATTATTTTATACTTTTAATTATAATCAATGTAAATTATGTAAGTTATGAAAGAACACATTTTTTAAATTATTTCATATAAAAAATAATTTTATTATCAGTAATTATAATTCAGAAATTTTAAGTTTTATAATAACCATTATGCTTTATAAGATTCTAGTCAAATAAATAACTATTATATTTATATATAGTATTCACGATATAATGTATATATAATTTTAAATCAATTAAAATGTATGATTTTCGTTATTCGATCATATATGTAATATAATAATTACATCTGTTTTGCAATAATGCATATATAACAATAATGAATAAAAATTTTATACTACTTTTGAAACATTATTCGAAAACGAATTTTTGTTAGTTTTTGTATAATTCCCTATCAATCCTAAAAAACAAATATTACATTTTATAATTTTACATGTGAAAAGCTAGTTTTTGCTTAATAATTATAAAGATTTTTACATAAAAATTAATAGTACAAACAATATTGTTTTTTCATTTAATCGATTATATCAAATTAGAAAGTATATTATAATATTATAAGACAAGGTAAAACGATAAAGCACAAACCATATACATCTTGTACATACTATTTGCAGATATATCTTATCAAACGGTGCAAGATACGGTCGTCGCATGAGTGTAGAAGATAATAAAAATAATAATAAGCAATGTAAAAAGCTTTCCATCAAGGATTGCCAATAAAATATTGGAGATTACAGCTATTCGAAATATTTTTCTTTAACATGCAGAAATTGTATATTTTATTTTAATACATTATATTTCTATTCGTTTCTATTTCCATTCACTGAAATGTTGCTTTTGCAAGTTATAACAACAAACCGATAGGAATTTTTAACATGACCACTATGACCATTTCTCTAAATATACAATTTTGATTTCAATTGCTATAATTAAGAATTTATATTTTATACATATTATGATAATAATACTCAATACATTATTATTATAATACAATATACATTATTAAATATTAAAATTAATTAATTAATTATATTTTATAATTAAAAAGTTTTAAATTATATACATTAATTTTTTAAAATATTAATAATTATTATAATGACATGATAAATAATTAATAATTATTATTAAATTGAACTATTTATAATTATTGATGTTCTATATTGCATTGAATAGTTAGATAATTATTTTGTAATTTTTAAATATATAATAATAACGATTGTTTTTATCTATTCTAATTTTTTTCGATCTCATATTTTATTTGAATTTTGATAATTTCCAACGAAAATTGATTTGATGTCATAATTATTTTGAATCATGTTCATTTTTTGATGTATTGCTTATTTTATCATGTCATATATATGTGAATATATAAATTTAAATCAAATTTATATCTTATATGATAAATAAATGAAACGAATACAATACAAAATACAACGAGTAAAATTTTTAGAGTTACAATTTTAGATTTATATCCTATTTAAAAGTGTATAATTTATTGTTGTAAATAAAAATAGATGATTAATTATAAATAATAATTTATTTTTAATAAAATTGAAAGTATATATTAAAATTTTAAAATTAATAATCCTTTATAATTAACGAGTCTTAAACTAACGATATTTTCAATCGATCAGAATACAATACTCATAATATAACATTATAATAAAATATAGAATCAAATACAAACTGGAAATGATGCAATAAATATATTGTGAAATAAAAATTTTATCAAATATATATTATTAGAATTCTAACAAGTGATTGTTTTAATTTACATACATAAAATTTAAATACATAATAAAAAATCATCTAATGAAATAATAATAATAATAATAATAATAATAATAATAATAATAATAATAATAATAATAATAATAAATTAAATAAATGGACAATAATAAATGAAAAACAAAATCGTACAGATTTCTCTATAAAAAATGATAATATTATATTAATAAACCTTATTTTCTTCTTCACATAAAGAATTCGTAATATTTACATACACGCGTAAGGTAGTTACAGATAATTTTAAAGGATTATATTAAGTTGTTACTATATATTATGTTATCCATTCAACTACAAATATATGCAAACTTAAAATGCATGAATCTGTCGATCAATCTATACGATTTATCAATTGTTCTATATATTACGAATGAAATTGCGTAAAAAAACAATATAAAATTGTAAAAATTGAATGTTTATTTACAAATATTTATAGTACATATTATAATATTTATTTTAGTACATACTATAATATTTTTTTACTAATATTAATGGCACACATATGTAAATTTTAAACTATACATAATTTTACCATTTATAATGTTTTTAATTTTCATATTCAGAATTAAATTTTTTATCATTTGCCCAATAGGGTTTATACGAAATCCTTTCAAACTTTTATAATTAATAATATTTTTACTGCATCGTACTGTTATATATAAAAATAAAAACGAACTAAATACAGATAATCATAATAATGATAAAAATTAAGATATATTAATATAGAATAAATAGAAAAGTTTGAAATAACCATTGCAGTAATACGAGTGAAATAAAATATTTATATATTATAGTTCATGATTCATTATATCATAAAGAATTGATGTATATAATTAAAATTCTATTAAAAAATATTAAAATATAAATGTATAAATGAAAACCAATTAAAATCGATGTACGTTATATTTTCGAAAATAATTAGTAATAATAATCAACATGTTGATTTATAAAGATGTAAATATAGTAGTTTAAAATTGTAATAAATATGGAAAGATGAAATTAAAATGAGGAAAATTACAAAAATATCTCATATTTTTCATTATTAAATTGAAAATTATTGGAACATTATCATTTAGCTAAAAATGATAGTGTCATTAGCTTACGCAATTCATGATTCGCCCATTATAAAATTACTAATATTTGAAAGATAGCCTGTTGATCTCATATTCTTATACTTTACAAAAAAATTAATTATATAGTTCCCCCTCGTCTACTATTACTAATATTATGCTGCAGTATTAAACAACTATTGTGTTCGATTCTGTTCGATTCCAAGTAATGTATAAAAAATTTTTATCTAAATATTTCAAATGATCTTCCATTAAATTTATATAGGATATTTATGAATTTCATTAAAAACATTAATTCAGTTATGTAAATACAAAGAGGCTTACATCGAGGAAGTTACTCCATTTTATTATATGTGATAAATTTAATAATATTATTTATTTATTTTTATAATTGATTTTACACTTTATAATTAATATAATATTTTATATTAATTGCCAAAATATAATATTTACAGATGATGGAACACTTAATTATTACGAATTTGAATAATGCACATGAGATATTTTACACACACTCGCATATATACATATGTGTGTGTGTGTGTATGTTTATATTTATATACTATAATTATTAAGCACCTCCGTAATTATATTTTATAGACCTATATATTTACCAATTATTTACCAATTATTAATTATTAATGATATAAATACAGAAAAACTTTACGCAATATTATTATATTATTAGGTTAATATTTATTTTTAAAGATATTAATTAAAATGTAACGAAGGTCATACTATCTTAATAATATTATTATATGAAATTTTCAAAATAAGTTATCTTTAAATTTTCTACGAAATGTATCATAAACTAAATTTTAGCGGTCAAACTATAGTCTTAAAGTTACTTTAGAAGAAACCGTTTGAGAGGGTCAGGTAATACAATACAAAATTACATCTGTCAGGTAACAAAAGAAGGTAACTTTTGCTAAGGCTAAGCTGATGAAATTGTAAGCTACAAACACAGGTATACTGTTCGGTTTCATACTTAAAATCTAGTAATATTAACTTTTTCTCCTATAATTAAATAATATAACTTTTTTCATCTCAAGCATAAGAAAATAAATTAAAAATATAATTAATTTAATAGATATTTTAAAATAGTAGTCAAATTTATTATTGCATAAGTTGAATTAAACATTCAAGAAAAAATTAAGTTAATTATTTATCATTTAGTTTAATAAAAAAAAAATCAATTTATTTTTGAATAGCATTTACATTGGTATTAATATATATGTTACCGTAATAAATGTGATTTATTTTCATTTAATATTTTTAATTAAGTGCAATAATTAATATATATATATATATATATATATATATATATATATATATATATATATAACAATTAAAATTTTATTCTCGATGTATACAAGATTTTGTTCATAACTATTTTCATAACCAAATACTTGTTATTGAAGAAGTACAAAATTCATATTTCATAACATATATGTATATTAACAATTTATACATTACAAACGCGTATATTGTAATTAAAATTAAAAAATACAAATACAAAATAATTCATACGTTACGTAAGTTTACATATCATCGATAATAAACTTAATTTGTTAATATTATTTAACTAACTTAACTAATAATAGTGACATCGAAATTAAATTAAATTATTAAATTACGTAAATGTTTATAACTCGATACTTGATCAATATAAGAAATTTTAATCAATCAATAATATACAAACCTTAATTTTCAGAATGGTATAATTGAACATTCTAAAATTTCTATTTATTTTGAATATTAAATTAAATATTTCCAATGAAACTATAATCACATAATTAAACAATTAAATATTTAATAAAACATGAATTTAGTTATGTAATTACAAAATACTTTTAAGCATATCATTAATAAGACGATATAATAATTCAGTAAAGAACATATCAATAATATTATGAAATGTTTTACTGAAAACCATATTAAAAAATAAATTCCAATTTTTAATTATTAATAATAAGCGATTTCATATTTAATTTTTTATTATTACGAATGATGAAAAGTATATTTATATTTATATTTATATACGAAAATGATATTACAATAGTATTTTTTCTGCATGTCCACTTTTTGTATTATCAACTCGTCGAGCCAATTGAGAATCATGTATAATTAAAATAAAGACTGTACTGTAATTGATTTTCATTATTAATTTCAAAATTTTCCTGTCATTAATGCCTGTATGTAAAATCGATATAATTAATAAAAGAGACTTATAATTTATCGCAGTATTGGTATACTTTATTTAAATGGACTTGCCAATTAATTTAAAATCAAATTTGTATGTCTAATATTTCGTATCTATCGTTTATAAAAATTCTATCGCCTAAAGTTTTAAGTAGTTCTTTTTTAAACTGTCACAAAAGTTCTTATTAAATAAGCACAAGATTAATAAATTATTGGTGCTATTGTATTTGCGCTTTAAATTACTTCTATAAAAGATTGAAAAGTATATTTTTAAATAGCAACTTGCATTTTGTAGATATTAGAAAGTATTACATCTAATGCTACTAAGTTTTTTGATTAACAAAATACTTTTCCTTATAATATATTATTTATAATTATATGTAAATACGTAAAAATAATGCTGTATAATGATTGTTTTATAGTTTATTTATAAAATATTTGATGCGTTCTGAAGATAAGATATGATGAATATAAGATTTACACAATTCGATGTAGAATTTATACTACGTATATCGATTGCAAAATATTTGTTATTTCTATTACATTAAAATATTAAATCGATATATATATATATATATATATATATATATATATATATATATATATATCTGATATATAATTGATAAAATTGAACATCTAGAATTATATACTTGTCAAAATAGCTTTAGACGTTTAATTGAACTATCGTACAATCGTTTCAAAATAGCTTATCTAAATTTTCAACGACGTAGACTTTTGAGATATTTTTATGTTTTATTCTTTAATGAAAATAAAAAAAATATTTTATACTCTTCTCCTATTTTCTCACCACCATTTGCCTTATCATTATATCTACCATTGTATGTCTGGTTTCTTTGTCGTTTCTCATATTCTTTATGTTAATTTATATCGTTAGCTAATTTATTATGGGTATTATTATTCTGAAGTTGATTATAAAACTTTATTTATAATACCATGTAGTCCATGTAGTTAAATGTATGATTAACAAATCAAATATATATGTAGTAAGTTCAAAGTCGCAAAGCCTGCGTTATACCTGACACCGTATACTACATAACAATGCTGAGTAGCAGTGGAACGTAAAAGAGTCGGCTGTGGCGACTTTTAGCCCCAGTGGTGGGGAAATCATCTCTGGAGTAGCAGCAATAGCATTTAACAGCCACGGCGGCAACGGCAGAGAGCGCGCATAACATGGTGGAATTCAGTGGAGTTCTACCATAACTTAACGACGAATAGCTATGCAGTTCGTTGCGTGTGAGCAACCCATAGGTACCATCGTCTCGGGTGTTCCTATTGATTTACGTCCTCCTTTACGCCCGGCATAATATTCTTTAGCTTTGCAACTTCTGTTTATTTATCGATATACACGTGCTTTTTTTTACACGAGTTTTTTTTTTTTTTTTCGTATATGAGGAAAAGATGAAGGGATCAAAGAAGATGGTGTTTATCAGCATCGTGTGCTACTGCTTTGTATTCATTCCGCTGAGTAAGTATTAAAAAGATCATCGCACAAATGGTACTGATTCATTTGTACAATATTTCAAATTTTTAGCACATTGATGAAATGTACATTTTTAGAAATCTCATATTATTCTTTTATGTATAATTCACTTTAATTGTATGGAAATATTTCCACGGCTGAACTGTTTGAAATTATTGAGTATTATCAATTCTACAATATACAATATCGTACTTTATATGTAATAGAGAAAATTTATGTTTCTCTTATAATCATAATCAATAGGCCTATATCGTTCGAATTTACATGAATAATTAAGTGAATGACAAATTCAAATGATACTTATTTCATGAAAATATTAATTATTATGTTTTTTTTTTTTTTTTTTTTTTTTTTTTTTTTTTTAGGTAATAGCGATGAGTAAAATTTTGTAAAATAACATAATTGTAAAGTACATTTTTATATAATAAATAATAATACAATTAATATTATCTTATTATAATTATTTTGCAAATAGATAAATATTTTATAAAATTAGATTCTCTCTTTTAGATTCCATATATGGTGACAAATGAATGTTTATAATCCATTATCACAAAAATCAGAGTTCTATATTTTTCAGTTTCGTGTGAACAGAAGCCGTTGATATTGAATGTATCAAAGGAAAAAATAAAGGAAATCGGTGATGAAGTTGAATTCAATTGTACGGTGCAAAATACTCAAGATTATCCAGTATTATGGATAAAGTTCGATAAAGATCGACTTGACCGTGCACCTCTTTCCAGTAATACTTTCATGATTGTAAGAGACAAAAGAATTTCTGTAAATTTTGATTCCATAACTTCTACTTACTCTCTTAAGGTAAATATAATTCTTATACACATAATAATAAATAATAATAATTATATATTGCGAACTTAGCTTAATTGTCGAATTAACAATTTTTTAATTGTTAAAGTGCTATAACAGATATTTATATAAGCAGTTGAACTAATTTACTTAATATAATATAAAGTAATATAAATTTGTTAAAATATAAAAGAAAAAAGAAAAAAATATAAATTAATATAAATAATCGATAGTGCTATAAAGATTTTATGAATTTTTTTTTTTTTTTTTTTATTAATGAACAGCACTAATCAATCATCTCATAAATACAAATTTCAGTTCGTTTTTAAATATCAAAATATTTTTAAATAAAATTAAAATGAAAAAATTTAATGTTTCTTACTCAATTTCACACACTTACCTAATTTAATATATTAAAAAAGGAGAATAGTTTTCATGATCGATACGAATATTCATAATTCAATTAGAATATTTTGTTATCTTGAAAATATTGTAGGTCTTAATATTGTTGTACCATTGACACTTTATTTTATAATGAATTGTAACCGCTATAAGTTTATAAAAGAGTCTTTTTTTTTCAAAGATCAAAGATTTGCAAGAAGCTGATACAGGGTTTTACCAATGTCAGATACTTATTACTGTAGCAGAAAAAGTATCCGCCGATGTAGAACTTCAAATACGTAGGCCACCGATGATAAGTCGCAATACAACGCGGCTCATAAACGTTACCGAAGGAAAACAAATTGAGCTTCGATGTAACGCTGATGGGTTTCCCGTGCCTCGTATATCTTGGAAGAGAGAAAATGATATTCTTCTACCATCTGGTGGAGCCATTTACCGGTAAAAATATTTATAGTTATGTAATTATACCTTGGCAAATTTTCTATTTAATTTCAATAAATAAAGGAAAAAAGTATTTTATTGAACATTATCTTAATTTATGCTGAAACATAAATTTATATTAAAGATCTTCTTTAACGCTAAAATTAAACGTTAAGAATATTTATTAAACAATATTATCTTAGGTATTTGACACGTTATTATATTATTAAATGTATATACAATCTGTAAGTAAAATAATTTTTATATGAAAATAAAATGAACATTAATTACGTTTTTTTTTTTGTCTATTCAAAAATAAAATAAAAATCTTTAAAATATGAATTAAATGTATTTTTAATTCAATTAAAATTTATTTTTATCTTTTCTTTAAAAAAAAAAATGGTTAGATGAATATTTTTAATCTTTTTATATAATTAACATTTTTATGTAATTTAAAATTCAATTTTAAACAAAGTTCAACAAAAATTTCTAAACAATATTTAAATTTTTAAATCGATAAGGTATTCTTATTTTAAATTTTCTATATTAAGTATAGAAAAGAAGCCTAAATGTAAATATGTGTATATATATGATTTTCAAAGTTTATAATTACATATTAATTTGAACAACATAAATTATATAAAAGCTTACCATTTTAATGAAATAATTATTTGAACGTAAACAGCTATATTATTGGTTATTAATTGATAAAGACAAAAGTTTGATGGAATATGTATAGTCGACTTACAAAACAATAGACATTATCATAACAATTTTCTTATCTAATCAAAACAATCAAAAGACTAAAAGTATATAAACTTCTAAAATATTATAATGTAAATAATATATTTTTTAAATAAATTATACTTGTTATATATCAATAAATAAATCGAAATTTTATTTTTGATTGAAGCTTATTTATTCCCTTCTTGATTACATGTTTTTATTGACACGTGTAATATTAAAATTTAAAAAAATCGAGTTTTAAGATAAATATCTTTTTTTCGAGCTTCAAACGATAATAATAATTTCTAAATTTCCTGAGTAAATTTTAACACAACAAACTTCTAATTATAAACAACACATCTATTCTTCAAATAAATTATGTCTTTTGGAAGAAATGGAGCAGTAGTTAAAAGAGAAAAAAAAAGGGAGTTACAATAAAAAATAAAATAACTGGTATATTCTAACTTTATATTATCACTTTTTATCATTTGATGTTTTCAGTTAATTATAAATTTTGAATTATTTTTTAATAATGTTATTTTCCAAGTGGAAATGACAGCTAATACCTAATAATATGACCCTTTAACAAATACTTTATCCCCCTGAGAACACTGGCCGTTAAAAAGAATTTTTTTTATTGTTATAAGTGGGAACGTGCTGATAATAGCAAATGCGCACAGGGACGATCGTGGCGTTTATCACTGTATTGCCGAGAACGGTGTAGGTGCCGAGGCTCGGGCTAATGCCACTGTGAACATAGACTTTGCCCCTGTAATTACAGCAATAAGACCGCGCGTAGGTCAAGCGCAAGGATATGACGTTGGTCTTGAATGTAAAGTTGAGGCCCATCCCCGACCGGTCATCACCTGGCTTAAAAATGACCTTGAGCTGAAGCGGGAGGAGTCAACGGCGCATACCGACGAATTTATCGATACGTATCAACGATATTCCGTGGGTTCGTTCGATTACGGCGAATATGTGTGCAGAGCCCAGAATAAATATGGCGTCGCAGAAACTAAGGTCGAACTTTTCGGTAAATCTTCAGTTTTTTTCAATTGTTTATTTATGCATAGTTTATTTATTTCAAAAACCCTATGTTGTAAATTTGATTTTACTTTATACTCGCATTTTGGGTTTTATTGGTATTTGCGTTTTTTTTTTTAAATATACTTTTAATAATATTTTTCATGCATAATTGATAAAAGTATTAAATTATTTTTACTTTTCAAATTTCGTTTATGTGATATCACATTTTTATAACGAAAATTTTAAATCGTTTATATGTATGTATACATTTTATAAATGTTTTATGACAATTAAATATTCTTCTCAGTTCATATTACATAGAAATTTCAATTTTTTCATCATACAGTTATAATAACTCTGTGTGCGTGCGTGCGTGCTTGTTTGTTTGTCTGTGTGTGCGTGTTTTTTTTTACTGATTTTGATGAATAACTATTATACATAATTCATGTTTCTTTTAAATTCATCTAATTAGTCTCTATTATTTATAAATTTATTATATTATTATCGAAAGACTTGATTGAATTACAATTATTATTTTATAATAAATGTAAAAAAATTATATTTCTAATAAGATAAACACGATTTAACATCATTATGAAATTTTCGTTCTTTTGAATCAAACAAACCACATTAAATTTTTGAAAACTAGGAAAAAGTCAAACAATAAAAATAACGATAAATTATTCGTCTTTAAAATACTGAATTAGAAAAAGTATATTGCAATTTGAAATTCATTTCAGACATTTGCATTTTTTTTTTTTTTTTATCTGCAATTAAGCTGCTTAAAACTATTACCGTTAGAACCTAAAAGTTATACTCTTATAATAAAACGTAATATATTATTTTGTAAAAATAATTATTACTTATTGTGTTTCAAATAAAGTAAAATTTTACAACAAAACTTATATTTAATAACATTAAATTATTTTCTTTCTTTGTTCTTTTAGAAACTGCCATTCCAGTATGTGCGAGTTCCTGTGGTTAAAACGAATATAATTGAAATGTAAATACTATAGCGATACTTATACTAAATAATGCATAAATATTATTTTATACTTTTTTATTTTTAATAAAATATGATTTTATTCTCCTAAAATTTAACGTTATAGAAAATGAACAATTACAAACATATGTAGTTGTTTTTGTATTAATTGCATATTTATAAAATATATATATTAATTCCACTCTCAGTTTCATCCACATTCTTAATTTTGAAATATTATATGTTTCATATATTAAAGGTGAAATCAAATTTATTATAATAATTATTCACAATTATAAATTTTATTAACTATTTTACTTTAATATTGAGGGAAAATTAATTAAAAATATTTATAATGAATTATATAAATATTATAATAAAAAATAGTAAATTTATAATAAATATATTTCTAAAATTTATCATTCTAAATATTGATACTTTGTATTTCTGTTTTCTATATATATATATATATATATATATATATATATATATATATATATATTAGTATTTCCGCTTAGTATGTTTAAATTAGCATTCTTAGATTTTATATTTTTGATTTCGACATTTAGTCATGATTTATTAAAACTCATTATTCTTCATAACAAGATGCCAATATTTGTCATATATATTATTATTTGTCTTATATACCTTTATATTTCATTCTCTCTCCCCCCCCTCTCTCCCCCCCCCCCTATATCTGTGGTTTATATATTCTATCAAATTATATATATGTATATAAAATAAAATAAAATATATCATCAAAATTGTAAATGGTTTTCATGACATTTTCATGACAGTATTTTCTTTTGCTTCTATTTTTATACATGCGTAAGTGTGCAAGTGCGTATTATTGGATCAGGGAATAGCGAGTTAGGTTATATATATACATATATACTTTAATACGACAATTCGATATTAAGTCAATTTATATTACAAAAGAATCAAATAAATCACAACTTATATCATATACATGAAAATCTGAAATACGACCAAATTATACATAAATATTATTTTCTGTAAAGACTAGTACTTATATTATTCAAAGCATATACATAAATATTTCGCTTAATTGGCAGTTCATTTATTGTTGATCACGAGTAATAACCAGAAATCAACAGCTATAAACTATTTAACCTAATATAAACGAGGTCATCAAATTGGTAGATGATTCACACTTCCAAATTCATCGTAGTGGTTCAAAATTTCTTATATTCCTTAAAATAATTTAAACTTAAAATTGAAATACAGTAGAATATATATGTAATAAAAATAGTTTTATAATATTTTGAAACTACTTATATGTTAGAGATCATATATATCGTTAAAAATTATACTTTGTAATAAAAATAACGCTAGCTAATTCAAATATGGTTTATTTAAAATTTTATATAGTAATTATTACGGATAAGACCTGAGAAATAAAAAATCCCACTTATTTATAAAAATTGGTATATATGTGATATTAATTTTTTTACAATTACTTATAATTTATCTATTAATAATACTTTTTAATTTAATATTTATTATAATGTTTATAAAAATAAAAATATAATATTAAATAATTTTAATAACATTTTTAATCTAATTATAAATATTATATTATATTATAAGTATAAATTATTAAAATCAATAATTAAATATAAATAATTTAAAATATATTTTATTTATTTTATAAGTGTATTTATTAACTAATACATAGATGAAACAACAATATAAAATATTGTACTACAAAATATTTAAATAAATTCACATAAATACTGAAATCGAAATATTACATTTTTTAAATTTTATTAAAAAAATATTAAAAATTACAACAAAAATGTTGCACAGAAATATTTAATTCAGATGTCAATTTTAAAGACAAATGATTTTAATATTATTAACATAACAAATCTAACTTATAAATTAAACAACTTAACGAAATATGTTTTCTTACAAAGAACAATACTCACTTCCTTGATAATTTCAAACATCTAGTAAACATATATAATAGTCTACAATATTATTAATAGATTCATTTTATTTCAATGTTCCAACTAACACTTTAAATAAATATTGTTATTGTTATATTAATAATTAATTCTTTTGAACAATTTCGTTGAAAGACAAAGTCCGAAGAATCACCAAGAAATTATTAATTAAAACTATCAGTGAATTATACTATTCTTTTCGTTAATTATAATTTACCTCTATAAACTAAAGTGAATTAAAAATTATATTTCATTAAAATAATTTTGAAATTCTAATAATTTTTGTGAATTCAATATACTTATTACCATTCATTTAATTCTTGAACTCTACAAAGCTTTTCTTATTTATATAGTTGAATAGTCTAATGCGTATTTTATAAAAAATATATTTCTTATACATATTTATTTAGTTTGACAATCTTTTCGATAATTATATTAATTTACTTTTAGTATTAAAAAGTCAATACTATATAATCCTTCAGCTACTTAAGTATTTAGATAATAATAATTAAGATATTTAATGATTTACTATCGAATAAAAAGTTAGTATATATAATCCAATAGTAATAAGATTTTTTTATGCAAAGATTATTTATCATAGAAATTATAAAAATTATACATATAATTAACTAGGAAAATAGAAATAATTTTAAAATTTTTATTTTTTGTTCTTAATAAATTTTATATTTTTCTTAATATTTGACAATTTAGTATTATCGAAATCATTATTGTGTTTATTATTATTATTATTATTATTATTATTAATATTACTATTATTATATGTATTTATTTAGATTTAAAAAATTTTTATCTTTGGAATTATTATAGAATTTGGAATTAAAATAAATTCATTACTATTTACTTATGTTCACACATAAAAATATTTTTAAAATATTCATTTTCAATTCATGATCAATATATTTATATTTATTAAGGGTATCTTACAATTCTTAGGTATAATTAAGAAAATTTCGGTGAAGCTTTTGCGATTGATATAAATTCACTAAAAGTAGTTTACGTAAAGAACGATATTATTTATTACAAAACAGAATTTGAACTGTAATTACTTTATAATGCTTATCCTAGATATAATTAAAGTCTTACGTATGCTTACATAATGTTTGTGCTGATATACTGAAAATACAAGCTTGAAATTGAAAGAACATTTATATAAAATTTACTGCAATCGAATATAATACTTGAATAATTATTTTATGAAATCAAAATTCATAATTAACGTTTTATAAATATACTTATTCATATTGTCAATTCACTATACTTACAAGCACATTTAAATAGTTACAGAGCAAGCTTAAATTATTTCTTGTATTCTGTTACAAAAATGTTTACATGAAATTATATTTAAATTCAATATTTCAATGATTAATTTCAATTTTAATTTTACAGATATCTTAATTTAATTTACATCATATTCCATACAATTCTTTTAATATAAATTTATCTTCTAACTTTATAATATTAGTTAGAAATGACATTAACTCTTCGTATTAATAAAAATAATTATTTTATTGTAAATATAATTCAATAATTTTCATGGTAATATGAAGATAATAAAAAGTACTGTAGAATTTAAAATGCAGTCAACGCTAACAAATTTTAATGCAAGTCTAATTTGAATAAACATTAAATTTTATAACATTTCAGATCTTTATGATTGTCCTATATTAGTATAGTAATCGTATACTTTATTATTTCTCCAATATCTTTTATAAAATCTATTTAAAAAATATTAATATGATCGAACTTAGTATGATATATGCAGACTAGCTATAGTAATGCTTAATTAATCGACGTAATACTTAATTAAACATTAGTTCTTTTATATCCTTATTAAAATTTATTATCATAAAGTATTTTTTATAAAGTAATTTCATTATAAAGTATTTTTAATGAATATAAGTATTTTGACATTCATTTTCTTCCATTTGTAAAATATTTAATCTGTTAGCATGTAAATACATTCTTTAAAGTTTATACTTTAGTGAAACCAAATGGTTTTTCGTAGAACAAACAAAATTAGTAATATTATAATCCATGGTAAATTTTTATCCACTGTTATAACATTGTGTTTAAAATAATTTAATAATATCAGATGCGTCTTGTGTAATGCACTGAAACAAGCTCTTTTCTAATAAATTATTACTGCTAATTTAGCTAAGAAAAGAACATAAGACAATCAAATAAAATCAATAGGCTTTAACCAATTCAGAAGTGAAATATTATGAACTTAAGAAGGAAACAAACTAATATCAGATAAAATATTTAAGATGATAGCAATATATATATATATATATATAAAGACAATTGAGATGTAAATACACTGTACATAAAATAGTATAATTTAGCGTTCTTTTAATTTGGAGAAATGAAAATTTTTAAAAACTGTATGAAAGTAAATATTAAATTAATATTGAAAACAATGTAATAAAAATGTATTACATTACTACGAATAAAGCAAAAATAAGAAAATCTTCGATGTCTTTGAACCAAATATAATGAAAATCGTAAAAACAAAAAAAAAACTATAACATTTTACAAAAGAATGAATTAGAGTAATGCATTAAAAAAACTAGTATTGATTACTCTTCTTTTACCAATTATTTCTTTCACTTTCAGCATCAACTACCGAATTTAAAAATCTTCGTCTTACAAATATGTAAATTGCAATCTTGCGTTTAAACAAATAACGCATGACAATGTACATTTAAAAGATTGCACAAAATTAAATATCATGAAAACTTATTTATATTATAAATAAAACTGTTGTGAATTTAAAAATTTGTAAACTAATTAATTTCTACTACTCATTAACACACGATATCGATATTTTTAAAAATTAAACAAAATGTATTGTCAAAAGTGAATCATTCACCCTAATTTATCATGAATTTATTTTTTATATAATCTTAAAATATATTAAGAAAATTGTATTCAATCTACATGAATGAATTGGCATTAAAGATTAAAATGATGTAATTGATCGTTTACGTCACCAAAATTTTTATAAACTATTAATTGCTTATGTCTGTATAACAGGTTAAGTAAATTTGATGTCACATTAACATATTATTAT